TAAAATTTTAATCTGTTCGAACGCCCGAGTATGTTTAAAAAAAACTAATGATACTTCCAATGCCGGATTTAACAGCCATTTGCATCACTCCTTGTTTCTACTTACCTAGGGGAAGGGCCTTTTAAGTAAGTCTCGGCGCCATGATATTTGAGCACCTGCAGTGCCAAATGCGGCGCGCTGGAGCCACCTTCCGTTCATCATGAATGACTTTTCAGGAGCTGACACTCCTTATATGCTATCTCTGTTCGTAGGCGAGAGTATGACAAATAGCGAAATAACGAATGACGTTTCAAAACCAGATTTCACTCGGCAGTACGAACGACTTATGATATTTATGTGATAGAATTTAAGGAGTACCAGCTCCTGAAACACCATTCCTGATGAACGCAGTTGTCTCTCGCAGACAAAATGACACGAGGTACGTGGCTCTGTTGGTATTCAAATACCATGGAACCGTGGCCTACCTTAGTAGGTATCTAAGCAACTGGAAGAAAGAATGCGGTGCAGTACGCCTCGAAGTCTGATCATGGAAGAGTCATTCGTTATTCGGTAATTGGGATGATTAATATGTGATTTGTAACGTTTGTGGTTATGGTGGTGCTATTGGTAACGGTGATGATGACTGTGGCAGGACGATAGCGATTATGATAATGGTGTTTGTGTTGATAATGTTTAGAGTTGTGGAGATGACAGTGATCGTTACAGTGATCATAGCTGTTAATCTGATTATGATTATCAGAAATATTGATATTGAAGTTTATAATTATGATAATGGCGGTGTGGACTGTGATGACAGTGGCGATTGCGATGATAATTATTGTGATGATGATGATTGTAATGATATTGGTGATCATGACCATCACTGTTATGGTGATAATGGTAATTATTACTATTATTTTGGCAGATACGATGTTTAAGTTTAAAATGACGGCGAGTGTAGTAGTCATGGTGATGATGAAAACTATGATGCTGGTCAATGTAATTGTCAAAGTCAGCACTGTTCTGATTATTGCGATTTTTCCTATTTTATTTCACTTTCTTTGATACATGTAATATTTTGGCAGCAAAGGGGTCTTGACATGGTGAGATTTTATTTCCAAAAATTTTCACATTTTTCTTGCAGTTCCTAAGACAGCAGGTTTCTGAAATTTCTGAACGATACTTCTGCCATTTTCAGGCAGTCCAGGCTGAACTTAACGGATTTTCTCATGAAACCATTTGCAGAGGTGATCACTGGCGTTGTTAGCACACTTTGGTTAAAGGACCTATTCCAGTCGATTGCCCTTATTTTCTGTCAGGTCTCATCCAGTCGAACAGTGACATCAATTGTCTCCAGGGTCTTGTTTTTTGCGATGAAAGATTAATAAGTCTGGGCGATTCTGATCAACGGACGGCACAGTTTTTAAGGCAGGATGCTCACAGTAAATGGTGCGTTAGCCTCCCTTAAGTACGCTCATTGAATGGCCCCGATAACGCGTCGTCATTTCTGTTAATAGGCCTTTGTCAAGTACCAGTCGTTATGGTAGTTATGACGGTGATCATGATAATTGCTGGGACGTTGGTGTTGATAATTGTGATAATTTTCGTGATAGCGATAATGATGGTAGTAATGCCAGTGATTTCGGCGGTGATAAAGATGGTGATGATAAGGAACATTGCTGATGTAGTGAGTAGGGTGATATTTGCGCCGTAAAGAAGACCCCCACAGTAACTATGGCGCTGATGACGATAAAGTCGTTGTATATGGAAGAAACTGGAAGTAACTTAATGTTAATCCACAGAGAAAGCATGGTGGTAATATCAGATGCGATAATGCACGTATGATTCATAATGCCCTCTGTTCTGCAATCAGGAAATTAAAGCTGATTGATGATTGATTGATAGTGTCTGCAGGGAGAAGGACGTGAACGACATCAATGATTGCGTCAGCAAGGTTTCAGAGTTCAAATAATTTTTGGTCTACGGCTTTGTGGAGTTCTGTGATTTCAGATTAATTATTACTTTTGACCAGTGTCGAGATTAGAGCTTCA